GAGGTTATTTTGGAGTTTTCTGTTCAAAGTGCAACATTTGGGATTTTACTATGTGGCAAGAATTGGGTAGACCAAAGTACAATTGGTAAAATTTTAACTTTTTCCTTTAGCACACAAAAGCTAGTCACTGAAAATAAGTTATTTCATATTATTTTTTCTTTAACTGGGTTTCTCATTTGGTTTATAACATAGAATGTATATGTTCATAACAGAGTTTTGAGCTGTTAATCACATAGCAGAGTGATTTTTGTTAGTGGTGTACTCACTCTGTATTGTACTCATTTTCTGATGTTGGTGGCTGCTGGTGAATGAGTAAATTTAAAAAAGGCATTTTAGAGCAGCTCAAACTGTGAACATTAATAAGAAATAAGTAACCAACTAACACCGTGTTCTTTTTACACCTTTGTTCACGTAGAACATTCTCTTGCCGTGGGTCCAGGCGAAGATAGCACTAGTTTAATAGGAAACCTAAAGCAGTAAACAAAATGTTTGTGACCATGTATACAATATTGCAAGACAGTGGTAATGGAATGTTGTATTTTACTTTGTTTGGCAAGTAAATATGTCACTTACCTGACTTTTACCCTCTATAAATTGGATGAACTACTCATGAACTAATCATTACACAAAAGGTGTTAACAAAAATAAAAGTTCTACCCAGCAATGTGCAATAATTTTCCAGGAAACTGACTGAATAAGACCCACCTGAACTGTTGGTTTGAAACCACAGATCCCACAGAAGGACGCAGGTATACGGATGCTGCCACCTATATCAGTGCCTAAACCAAGCAGGGAGCCCCCTCCCCACCAGATGAACCTCCAGAGGTCTTCTGGGGGTTATGAAGGTTCACAGTTTGGTCATAAATAGGATTACTGCAGTCATAGCTGAAGGTGAGCAAAGACAGATAGCTAATGACTCTTTGCATACTATGTACACTTGGAATTGGCAAAGACCACGGAATGAGTCCTCACAGTGTTTAAATGTACTCTATATTTATGCCAATCATTGATAAAAGAGTTACCTCAAAAGGGCTTGAGGCAAGTTGGTTTTCACAAAGGGAATAGCTCCTTTTTCCTAAGGACTTCAACAAGCACACTGTCCTTTTCAACGGGCTGGTCCAGGTTAATGAAAACACTACAAGAACACTCATGATTCTATGATTTATCACTGAAACCAGAAGATGGTAATGGCATGTTAATGACCTTAGTGATAATGCTCATATATAACATACTTACAAATACTGATTAGAAATTAGAAAGTAACTGGAACTGCATACAAGAGACCATCCTTGTTGGAGCCAACAGTTTTCAACTGGTCCAAACTCTCCAGCAAAACTTCAGTGCAGCAGTTCAGCTTTTTGTTTACAGCCAGAGTCTGTTGGAAAGGAAACAAGCACAGGCAGATTCAAATTAACATACAGTTAGGTCCATATATATATGGACACTGACACCAGTTTTGTTTTATTTAACCATTTACTACAACACACTATAATTATAGTTATATAATTGACATGGACATAATGTGTAGACTCTCAATTTTCACATTCAGATTGGATGAAGGATTTAGGAGTCTCAACTCCTTAACATGTGCCACACTCTTTTTAAACAGAGCAAAAGTAATTGGAAAATTGACTCAAAGGCTGTTTGATGGTGTAGCAAATTCCTTTGTTACATTGTTATCAATTAAACAGGTAAAAGGTCAGCAGTTGATTTGAGGCGTAGTGCCTGTGTTTTGAACATTTTGCTGTGGATAGACCACATCTGATCAAAGGAGCTCTGCATGCAGCTAAAACAAGCCATTCCTAAGCTGTAAAAACATAAAAAAAAAAACAAAAAACAACCATCTGAGAAATTGCTGCAATATCAGGAGTGGCAAAATCTATGGCTTGGTACATCCTGAGAAGTAAAGAAAGCAATGGTGAACTCAGCAGCGCAAAAAGACTTAACTTCACTTTAGAGGCCATAAGAAGATCATTTGTAACCTTCACTAAAGCTGTTTCTGTGCTGTGATGAGCTCTGAAACC